AACCCAGAAATTATTGGTGGGGTCAGGTAATAAGGGGTATAACGCCATTAATAGTGGCGCTATACAGTAACGGTGCAGTTACCGTTACTGTATAGCCCCACTTTTTGTGGCGTTATATATAGTTTGGTAACTTTTTTTTTAACACTTATTTGCGTATTTTGAGTCAAGAAAAACCACATTTTGGTTCGGGACTCAATGAATGAATGTTATGAAAAAGATGAGAGAGCTGCAGTTGTCTTCTCGCTTTACTTCTGCTTTTGCCAGAGCTACTGGTGGTGATGTTCTTCTTTCCTTTTTTTTTCGATCGTGACGCCACCACTATACAGAAAAAGAAAGCAAAAAGTGTCAATTCTTATCTACGGATTCCATCTCTTTATACGGTTAAGTAAGGGACTCTGATATCATTTTTCTACTTACTTTTTACTCAGGTACCCAAGTGATGCAGATAAGCATCTGTTAGCACGACAGACTGGTCTCTCCAGAAACCAGGTTTGCCACCTCTACTATAAATCCTCTAGAAATGTTAGTGTCAAAAAATTGTGTGCACTAGGTAGTAAGAATTTATAAAAAGTGAGATTGGTGACTTTAAATACAAGACAATTACTCGTTATAGCAGATAAAACTACGTACATTGATTCTTTACGAAAAAGTTTTAAACTGTTAAGGGTTGTTTGGCAGAAGGATTGAAAACATAAACATTATTAAATTGTACATAATTAATTAGCACTCCATCGATCTATTTCGTTTTATGTGACACTTTTTAGTTTTGCCTAATAACACTTTTCTATATTTGAAAACATTTTATCGTCACACAATTGTCATCGTATGTGTCGGACCACAAATTCAAAAAATTGTTATTTAATTCTTAACCTCTATGACCGATCAAATGGGTTTAGAGAAGATGAGAGGAAGTTCTGTATTTGGTTAGATTGATCATATAGAAAAAATAATCTCTGGACAACTTATGAAGCATTTGGCTGATGTATCAGGATATAAATTTCATACATATTCCTGAAATAGAATGTAAAATAAGAAAATGCGTATTAGTAAAACAGAAAATAAAAATATTAAATAAATTCCTTAAAGTATGTTATCTCTAAATTAATTTTTATCAATAATCGCCCGTATATAGCAATTGTGTTATTATTATTTACCGCATAAATAATTCTTGCATTATCATTCTTACATAACTGAGATATATCACATGTGGTGGAATATCCCATGGGATTAGTTATCTCATCTTCTAAGAGATAACTAATTTTACCATTTTAGTGTAAAAGTTATCTCGAGATTAGCTAATACCTCAAATCAAATATATAGGATAAAGTTAATCCCAAACTTTATTTTGGGGATGATTATTCTTATCCCATGTACCAAACGACCCCTAAGGTACTCATGATAAAGTGGGATAAAGCGTGGGAATAAATTTATATCATGTTTGGTTGACGGTATAAATTAGGATAAATTTATACCTTCAACCAAACATGGTATATGTTTAATACCAGTGCTAGTACATGATATCCCACCTTATCCCATCATACTTGAGATTCTATTATCCCACCTCCCATGTGGGATAAATTAGTCTAGGGATATAATTCCAAGATTATAATTCCAGAATAATTAAACCGCATACCAAAACGACCTTAGTGTATATAAATTAAGGGTATTTTTGGGGTATCTTGACACTGCTTCAATTCGTACCTTGAAAATGTTTCAGATTTTTAAGTTGCTGAACTCAGCTTAGATACTTATTGCGGATCTGGGTTTGCGTTCTTCAGTTTTCCTTCCTTCGGATAAAGCAATGCCAGAACTGTTTGTTGGCCCCCTTTATATTGTTCCTTTCGATTATTTCCGCAAATAAATAAGTTCCAGATTAGTCAAAGAAACAGTAGGAATAGTAAGTTGTTTCAGTGGCAGAGCACATCCCTATACATTAGGACAAAGTTTGCTGTTTTACTAGTTTATATTGCTCCTTTCATGTGGTGTTTGACTGGACATATAACAGAAAAAAAAAATCTTAACACATACCGAAGTATCTTTAAAATTTGTGATTTTAAACATGTCTGGATTTATAATTGTAAGAGTATGTCATTGAGTAAAATAGAAAACCTTAGGTTAAAAGGCTACCAATAAATATAAGTGTCATTTTCTGAAACAAACTAAAAAGGAAAAATTATCGGGTAGAATTTGCTACTCTCTTCTTGCTTATGTCTGTCCTATCCAACGACACTTTATTAAGTCATTTTTTAGATGGTAGATGATTAATTACAAACATTACAAGAATAGTAGATTTCATGTGGTCAGTATTCCTTCTCGACAAGATCTTAAATTTTTCCTAGAACATAAATGGAGAATGCTCTCGCATGTTCTTAAATTATTGGTTTGTTGACCCATTTCCACTGAAAAGGGAAAAATAAAAATAAAAACAAGACTGTTGACCACATCTACTCCCTGCTTAATTAAAACTCAAACACTTAATGAAGATCTTAAAAGATTGTTGTTTGATAGTAATAAATATGTTGACTCTAAATAATTGCTAAGTTTAGCGATTCCTTTCCAGGTAAGAGCAGTCAAATAATTCATGAATCTCTGGTGACATCATAATGTGAGTTATATTATGTAGTTTGCGTAGTAAAAATGTTATGTTTTGCAGGTATCAAACTGGTTCATAAATGCCAGGGTGCGGTTGTGGAAACCCATGGTAGAAGATATGTATCAAAAAGAGGCTAAAGATGAAGAAGAGGAAGATGATGAGAATATGGAAAAGAGCCAAAACCAAAACAGTAGCAATAATATTGCACAAACACCAACGCCTAATTCCTCTACCAATACAATAACCACAGGATATGGAACAGAAACAAAAACAGCTGCCACTGTCACAGCAGCAACAATATTAACAGTTGCTTCAGACAAAAGATCCGAAATTAATGTCCCAGAAAACGACCCTTCAATTGTCGCAATGAATAAGCTTTGTTTCTCGGAAAACCATACAGAACATCATGAGTCTTCCTCTAGGGCAACTCATGAAATGGCTCACCACAGTTTCCCGGCGATTCAAGACTCCGATGGCATGTCCCGTCGGGAAGCCGTGTCCGGTGTTGAATATGGGACCACAAATATTATGGCTATTTCAGATAATGGAACAAGGATGATAAGATTTGGGACCAGTGCTGCTGGTGACGTTTCACTCACCTTAGGACTGCACCATGCAGGGGATCTACCCGAGAATACTCATTTTTTCGGTTAAGCTGAGATTTTGAAGGCTGCTCATAATGAATCATGATATATTAGCACCACATTAATTAATTTATACCAAATTTTACTATAGCAAACCAGATTTTGGGGACACATAACTTTCTCTCTAGATAATGTTCATTTGTCACACGCCTTTCATAAAGATATAATGAGAAACAGTTGCATTATCTTACAAGCACTGGTCACATCTAATTGTATAGTGTGTACGCATTCCCATTTTTTTTTTGTTTGCTTGCTTCTTTGTACTCAGGCTTTTGTACGTCATTTATCCGTAAAACAGCACAATTGAATTTATAACGTGGCTTATAGACAAGTCAATCAATTTGATCCAAAACTGATAAATAAATAAGAACAAAAAAATGAAATTAAAGGAGATAACGAGCGTAATTCCGAACTCGGTCTTTCCGAGACCAAAAATAAAGGCACTGATAAAGCAATGATAAAACTATTTAGATTGAGCGTAAATTATTAGAATAAAGCTTTGTGTGCAGAATGTTTCATCCCCTCCTATGATTGTTAAGCCTACTATTTATAGCTCTACCTAGGGAGACAAGATCTTAAAATCAAGCTCCTCTTGAATGAGAATAAAAACATTATTGATGGGTGCATAATGGCTGGTTTTGAATGCAAATATTCTCTGTAACGGCTGCTCATTAAATGCTTTCCGACGTCAAACCTTTGAATCTCTATTATCAGCTATGCATCCTTCGGGATCCATCTAGCACCGGTCACATACTTCGTACCCGGTACCAGCTATTTGTTGATTCATCTTTTGCATGTCTTCGGTTTCATGACATGTCACCTTATCATTCCACCACCTGTTATGAACCAATTTCACCCCATGCAGCTGGCCCCTTACTTCCGGTGACGCAACTCAATGTTACTTGATGACCCAAAAGGTCATCACTTGTTTTGGAAATAAATTCTATGTTCCGAGGCCTTAAAACCTCCTTTTTGTCTCACCTCTATTTGCGTGCGCAGTCCGGACGTGTATCCGGAAAGCCATTATGTGAAAGTCTGTGTAAAATGATAAATCTTGCTTTTAAAATGAATTTAAGTTGACTTCGGTCAATCTTTTGGGTAAACGGGCCCGAACCCATGAATATGAGACTTGGACGCATGCCCGAAATTGAATTCCGAAGTTCCAAGCACGAGAAATGAATTTTTGAAAGAAAATTATTTAACTGAAATTATAAGAGTTTTTAGAAATTTGAATGTGTTTAAATTTGATGGTATCGGACCTATATTTTGGTTCCGGAGTCCGGTATAGGTCTTATATGGCATTTAAGTTGAGCCTGTAAAATTTGGTAAGAAATGGAGGTCATATGACGTGGTTCGGAACCTTAGTTGTAAAATTTGAAACTTCGAAAGTTCTTGAGATTTTCTTTGATTTTGATGCTAAATTCATAGTTATTGATGTTATTATGATGCTTTGATCGCACGAGCAAGTCCATATGATATTTTTGGACTTGCGTGTATGTTTGATTTGGAGCCCCGAGAGCTCGAGTGAGTTTTGGAAAGGCCTCAGAGTGCATTTAGACTTAGAACATGACAACTGCAGGTTCAGAGAAAAAAATTTACAGGTCTCTGAAACCAAGCTCCGTGGTCCGCGGAGGGGTCTTTGCAACCATGGTAGGGGCTTCGCGATCGCGGTGGGATTTATGCGGTCAGCGGTATGCAAGGCTGAGTCTTCGCGGCCGCGCTCGATATTTCGCGGTCTGTGGTAGAGCTCCGCTGCTGCGGTCCTTTTTATGCGGTCCGCGGTGAGGGTCTAAGAGGAGCATATAAACGGGACTCTTCAGCTATTTTTCAAGTTTCAAAACCCTAAAACATAAGAGGCGATTTTTCAACCACTCTTTCTTTCCCCAAAATACTAGTAAGTGATTTTTAACTTATTTCTTTCACTCACTAACATCTTTTTACAAGATTTCATCCTAGAATTTAGAGTTTTCATGGTGGAATTGAGAATTTTGGGTAAAACCTAAGAATATTACAATTTCGGAATTTAGACCTCAAATTGAGGTCAGAGTCCAATACCAGTTATATATCCAGGATCGGGGTTGAATGGGTAATTGGGTTTTGGTCCGAATTTCGGGTTTGGATCAAGCGGTCCCGGGGTCGATTTTTGACTTTTTAGGGAAATCATTGGAAAACCTACTTTCATGCATTAGAATTACTTATTTAGCATTTACTAAAATTATTAAGTAAATTATGACTAGATATAATTGAATTGGGAGTGGAACCAATAGGTATAGCGGTAGTTGAGGCTTGATTGTGTTTGTGGCTTTGAGGTAAGTGTTTGGTCTAACCTTAGCTTGAGGGATTAGGAGTTGTGTCTTAATTGCTGTGTGTTATTTGTGGAGTACGATGTATAGGTATGGTGACGAGTATCTATACGTCGGTGTCAAGCATGCCCGCGAGTCTCGTATTGTTATTGTTGTGATTCCATTGTGATTTATCCATGCTTAATATGATGATTATCATTGTTGGTTCCCTTGTAGGGATGTTATTGTTTACGGCATTGTCTCCCTTGTCGGGATGTTATTGTTTACGAAATTATCTCCCTTGCCGGGATATTATTGTTTATAATATTGTCTCCCTTGCTGGGATGTTGTTGTTATACTCTTGTTCCCTTGCCTGGATTCTCTTATGATTGACGTTGAAATGTATATGGGATCGGGTGGCACGCCGCCACGGTAATACATATGAAATGGGATCAGGTGGAACGCCGCCATGGTAATACATATGAAATGGGATCGAGTACCACGTCGCCACGATAATATATATGAAATGGGATCGGGTGGCATGCCGCCACGGTAATATATGAAATGGGATCGGGTTGCATGCCTGCAACAAGAAAGAATGAAAGTGAATATTGATTCTTATGGTGAGAATGAGAGTAAAAGCACGAAGGGTGATGTCGTGCACTTGTTTCTGATTTTCCTTTTTCTTTTTGGCAATTGAATTTTGGTTTCTCTACATTCCTCTTTTTGTGTTCTGTTGTTATCTGATACTCCCTGCAGCATGCTTTCTCCCTCTCATCTTTAACTGTAAATATCTACTTTTATTTTTTCGCGATATATGATTTAACTGTACAGGTTTATTTGGTAGTCTGGTCCTAGCCTTGTCACTACTTTGCCGAGGTTAGGCTAGGCACTTACTAGCATGTGGGGTCGGTTGTGCTGATACTACACTCTGCACTATGTGCAGATCCCGGTGCTGCAGCTTTTAGACTGCAGTGAGGTTGCTGCCTTCAGTCCATTCAGGTGACCCGAGGTAGTCCTACAGGCGTTCGCAGGCCCTGACGTCTCCTTCTATCTTTTCATTCTGTTTCTTTTATGTATTTCAGAGATAGAGTTGTATTTATCTTTCGAACCCTTATTTGTAGTATTCCTAGACAGACTGTGAGATTGTGACATCAATTCTGGGTAGTTTTGTTATGGATCTGTATCGGGAATTTTTATTAAATTGTTACGTTTCGTTCTTCCGCTAATTTATTTCCGCCGCTTATATAGTGTGAAATCACAACTGTTAAAGGATTTAAAAATGGAAAAAAGTAAATAATTGTAATGGTTGGTTTGCCTAGCTTTCACTAGTAGGCACCATCACGAGTCCTGAGGGTGGGAAATCCGGGTCGTGACAGTTACCAGGAAATAGATGAAGATTCCGTTCTTAGGGGTAAAGTTTCTGAATAGTCTTTAACACTTGAAGGTACACACGTCTTCTCGTATTTAATATCCTGAAAAAATGTTGCCCCATGATTCAACAAATATTTTCGCTAGATCTCGAGGTAATCACGACCACAATTTTTGATGTCTATAACTTCTCTGCTACTCATCATTTTTACTTCTTCACTTTCACAACTTCCACAACTCTTTCTCTTTCTCTGAATTTCCTTAGAGCTTTTCTACATCATTCAACTTTCTCAATAAGAACATCTTTAACGATTTTTTACCACCATATCTTCTTACACTGCTACCTTCGAAAACACCGACCTTCTCTTCGGTGGAGGCCCAAAGAAAATCAAAACAAAAGAGGTTGACGTCGAGTCTGAATCTCCAACTGTAAACACCATTATACCCCTTTCGTCTCAGCACTGCATCTGATATCAAAGAGCAAACCGCATCTGTAAACTCCCAAAGTAGTAGGTTTTGGCCTGTTCATAGATACCCTTCCTCCATTAATCCTTCTAGTATCCCTACTGTGAAAAAGGACTCCAATGTCAAAATCCTTGCCCCAGATGGAGTAGAACGAGTTACCTACTCTAGAGAGGGGTTTATGTATGTCTATACATATCCCTTTACTTTGGGTCGCTTCTCCTTAGGGTCGAGTAAATGACTTGACCCAATAATTTTGAAATTTTGCCACCGATACCAGGTTTGCTTGGGACAAGTAGGCCTATCGATATTGCGTATGGTGGCCTACCTTCGTTAGTTGTGCACCGAGATCGTAGAAATCCTAACTTTCGCACATATGATGAATCGCTACTCCTCCAAGATTTTCCGCGGTGGAGTGTTAAACTTCAGCAAGCATGGCCATCGCACCCTCCTTACCAGCATAGACAATGATAACGACCGCGGATGGATGGAGTGGTTCGTTGTTATTGCTACCAGGGACATTATCCCGACTAAAACTCAAGCTTTCCCCGAGAAGTGGAATCTTTTGCATAAGTCTTCGGATATTCTCTTGCTTTTTTCGTAAAAAGATAATTTCTTGTTTTGCTAATTTATTTTGCTTCTTCGCCTTAGCTATCTGTTGGGAACCACTACGGGTTCATAGTCTAGACTGATGTGTTTATAAAATTTTGGATATCACAACTCTGAAATCCCGTCGGTGAAAAAAATGGCTCCTAAGTACGGGTGGAGAGCTAAGAACCATGGTAAGCAAAATTTCTCTCTTCCCTTTTTTCCTTTTTTTTAATCCTAGTAGCTTAAGAGAAATTCACTTAACCATCTTTTTTTTGTATAGGAATTCCGAGGGGATCTGTCATGTGCCCCGATGTCGATGTTCTTGATGACCCCGAGGAGGCCGGGAGAGTGTTGCATGATGCCCTCAACCGAATCAGGGCTCGTGGATCTACTCGAGACTCTGGTGAGGGTGCCTCCTCTATGAGTCCCCAGACTAAGGATAAGAAACCGAAGAGGACACGTTCCTCTTCGGCTGGGACTCAGGAGAAGAGAATTAA